TCTGCCATGCGATTGATCATGGCCGTGCCCCGCTCTGAGGTGTTGCTCAGGCGTGCAATCAGTTCGTTGCCCTGCGCCTCCATCAAACGCAGACGCTCGGCGCGATTCGCAGACACCCGTTCGATGTCCTCCAGTCGTTGTTCCACGGTCTGCGAGATGGCTGCAGCCGTGGGCGGCTGTTGCTGCTGTTGCTGCTGTCGCTCGTGGAGTGTGTCCAGCTTGTTGGCCAGACCCTCGCTTCGCTCCGAGTTCTTCGAGAGCTGTGCGAGCAGCTGCTGGCTCTCCTGCTCCAGCCGCTGCAGGCGGGCGGCCCGACGGGATGTGTAGGCCTCCTCGTCGACAGTGAGAGGGGATGCCTCCTCCATTTTGGATGCAAGCGGAGCGGCCTCCTCCTCGGTGTTGCTCTCGAAACTGGCATCGCGACTGGGGCGCGACTTTAGGTAGTGCCCCGATCCGTGGTACGCCTGATGCGCGACATCAGCTGCCGCGACTCCTCTTCCAGGCGACCGAGTCGCTCGGATCGCTTTCTCGTGTACTCCTCCTCCCGTGGCGTAAGACTTCCTGTGGCCGGTGCAGAGCTGGCACGCGTCATCCTCTCCAGCCGCTTGTTGTTGATGAGCTCTTCGAGGGGCACTGCATGCTGGGCGGGCGAGACCTCGTCCTGGAAGCGGCACAGCTGCACCTCAAGACGTTCGCGGTTGTCGGAGGTCTTCAGCACCTGATGGATGAGGGATTTTCACTGCTTCTGGCCGTGTAACTGTAATCGATATTCCCATAATCGATACTTCAGTGCGATACCCAATCTTATCGATGTTTAAGTGCGATTGTGTGTTCAGAAGAACGCACACGTAGTGGAATAAAATATTGTTATTAAAACCCAAGAACTGCGTCACAATATTCAAAAACTATAGATACACACAATCGGCTGCTTCGAAATTTTTCATCGCAAAACTCAGTTTCGTTTTCCCCAGTTGTCAGAAGGTGCTGAAACTCACAGAAAAAAGGAACAAAAATACAGCTCGATGCGATATCGAGCGCATAAAAATTGTACGTATTTGAATATTTGGTTTAAAGGATCGAGATGAGCACGGCCGAAGAGCGGTGGAAACGACTAGCACAGGAACGAAGGAGCAGAGGTGGCCAGGGATTCGGAGATGAGGGCTCGTGGACTCCCCCCAGGCCCTACGAGGTGATGCGGCAACAGAACTGTAAGACTGCAAGCTTCCGTCCGGGTGAGACGTACCCGAGCATCCGCACGCCCGTGTCGAGGTGCAGCCGGGAGCAGACCATCAACTGGCTGGCGGACTCGATCGAGTCGGATGGATGTGGGCGACCCTACGGCATGTCCAACGATGACATTTTGCAGATGTGGCAGCAGAGCCCCCACAAGAACACCTTGGGGTACTACGGCGTGGGGTCGCAGGTGCCGAAGCCGGAGGCAGTGATATTCAATCGGCAGATCACGCAGAGCCTCCAGAGGGCCAACGGTCTCAAGCAGCGTAGAAAGCAATTACAACTTCAGGGACCGAGGACTCTACCAACCATCGGCGGGAAGAAGGTTGCGGAATCGGCCTATAAGCCATACGTCCTCAATCGCGAGGCCATCAAAGCGGCCATCCAGAAGATGCCGACTGTCAAGAAAAACCTGTCGCCCAGTCAGGCCTTGACGACGGTGTACTGCAACAAGTCCGATCCCGTGGATCCCTTTGGCGTCACCAAAGAGAAACAGCAGCAGCAGCAGCCCGAACTGAAAATGGAGCATGCTCCGCTGAAGAAGACGTACGGCCATCGGCGCCCTTATCCGTACTGCGGCTGGCGGTGCGATGAGCCGAAGAACAAGTGCACGGACTACGAGTGGAAGAAGTACAAGCAGGATCCGCGACCCTGCGACGAAGACCTCAAGCGGGAGCAGAAGGTGGCACAGGAGCAGACCCAGGTGCCCGAACCGCGGAACTACGAGGAGCTGTACTTACGCCTGGTCAAATGCTTCGAAGCTCTTAAGGTGGAGTGTCCCATGTGCAAGGCCTACGCGCAGTGCTGTAACCCGAGGGGACTCGAGGGCGATGCTCCTGGTGTCCCAGATATGGATCTAGGATATGGCGACGGCGGAGGCATACATCCCGGAGACAAATTCAGGCCAGGAGACAAACCCGGAGGGGGAAGCAAGCCGGGATATGATGAGAAGCATTTCGGAGATGGCGAAAAACCGGAAGATGGAGGAAAACCCGGTTATGGTGATAGGCCCGGAGGAAAGCCAGGAGTTGGTGACCAGTCCGGAGGAAAGCCAGGAGATGTAGACAAGCCCGGAGGAAGGCCAGGAGATGTGGATAGGCCCGGAGGAATGCCAGGATATGGTGACAGGCCCGGAGGAATGCCAGGATATGGTGACAGGACCGGAGGAAAGCCAGGAGAGGGTGACAAGCTCGGCGGAAAGCCAGGAGATGGTGACAAGTACGGAGGGAAGCCAGGAGATGGTGACAAGTACGGAGGAAAGCCAGGAGACGGTGACAAGTACGGAGGAAAGCCAGGAGACGGTGACAAGACCGGTGGAAAGCCAGGATATGGTGACAAGCCCGGAGGAAAGCCAGGAGGAGGTGACAAGCCCGGAGGAAAGCCAGGAGATGGCAACAAGCCCGGAGGAAAGCCAGGAGTTGGAGACAAGCCCGGAGGAAAGCCAGGAGATGATGACAAGCCCGGAGGAAAGCCAGGAGATGGCGACAAGCCCGGAGGAAAGCCAGGAGGTGGTGACAAGCCCGGAGGAAAGCCAGGAGACGGTGACAAGCCTGGAGGAAAGCCAGGAGACGGTGACAAGCCTGGAGGAATGCCAGGAGATGGCGACAAGTCCGGAGGAAAGCCAGGAGACGGTGACAAGCTCGGAGGAAAGCCAGGAGGTGGTGACAAGCCCGGAGGAAAGCCAGGAGATGGTGACAAGCCCGGCGGAAAGCCAGGAGTTGGAGACAAGCCCGGTGGAAAGCCAGGAGATGGAGACAAACCCGGCGGAAAGCCAGGAGTTGGAGACAAGCCCGGTGGAAAGCCAGGAGGTGGTGACAAGCCCGGAGGGAAGCCAGGAGATGGAGACAAACCCGGCGGAAAGCCAGGAGGTGGTGACAAGCCCGGAGGAAAGCCAGGAGGTGGTGACAAGCCCGGAGGGAAGCCAGGAGGTTTGGACAAGCCCGGAGGAAAGCCAGGAGGAGGCGGCAAACCATGGGACAGGCCGGCCGTTGGGGAAGAAGCGCCCGACGATAAAGGGCAGGCGGGAGAGAAGCCAGGATCTCTTCACGAGGACGAGAAAAATGAGGGGGAAAAAGGCAAGCTGAAGCACAAGCCATCGGAGAGCAAATTGAAGACAAAGCAACCTGATGATCCGGATGCGCCGGATAAAGCAGGGGAAAAAGATAAAGGTAAATCCAAGCGACCGAAGCCCTCTAAACCAGAGTGCGACCCAAACGATCCATTGTGCCAGCCCGAGTGTGACCCAGACGATCCATTCTGTGACACTTACAGCCAAGATACACCCAAGCAATCGATCAATAAACGAAAGGGATCAAAGACAAGTCGGCCGTCTGAACCAGCGTGTGATCCAAACGATCCATTGTGTAGCGTGAAAAAAGATCCTGGGGATAGCTTGACACAACCACCCGGAGCACCACCCATCGGGCCAATTTCACAACCCACACAGGGCCCAGAGATCCCCAAGCAAGGGATCAAGGATCAAGGACCGCCTGGTGGTGATGGGAAAACTGCTAAAGGTAAAGGCCCCAAGGGTGGTCCCTCGAAGGAGGAGGTCAAGCCGGAAAAGGCAAATATTCCATCGTGTCCCTGCCCCATTTGCGAATTCTTGCGGCGCCACAACGAACCCGACTCGCCGATGATCCGCGAGATGAAGCGCCAGGATAAGTTGCGCCAGCAGCGCGAATACTACAAGCAGATGTGCCACCGGCAGTACTTGGAGTGTCGCGAGCCCGAGTACCGGGCCCCACAGCACCGTTGCGATCCCATCGAATGCGACAACACCTTCTGCAGCAACCCAAAGCTCGGGGATTACTGTGAGTGCTTAAAGGCCATGCAGGACCTGCAGCAGATGCTTGGCAAGAATCACAAGATCGTTGGCAACCAGCTGCTGTTCGACCTGGAGGACCTGAGAACTCGCCTTTGCAAGCAGATGTGTGACTGTCTCTAGAGAATCGTCCTTCAAAATATATAATTTTCGGAATAAGAATCTGTATTTGGAAAACAATTCGAGCATTAAAAAAAAAATAGTTTCCATATACATACATATATGTATGTATATAAAAAAGCGATTTGTTCTCTTGTTATGTAGGGTTGCATGGCCTATTATCGATTGCTAGCATTCGATAGGCTGAACTGAGTGTATCTGCAAACGTGTTTTTCGATTTCGTCGTTGCTCATTTGCAAAAAGATAACTAATTGCAAAGAAAATTCAGCCTAGACCTAATACTCAACAGAAAATCCTAGTATCTATTCTGCTGAAATGAAATATTGATTTCATGCACTGTCATTTGGTGGCCTCTGAAGGAGGAATCCATTGCCGCTTCTTGGCAGTTTCGAAAGTGGAATTGTTCGATTCCTCCATTCAGATATACCAATTTGTTGGGTTTGTATGAGCTTCTTGTAGTGTTCGAAAATTATTATTTGAATCGTTATATAATAATAAAATTGTTATAATCGATAGTTGTTACAGAAGAAGAAGAACAACAAGACACAAATTTGCAACAAAATTATTAAAAGAAAGAAAAAAGGAAGTGTGACAACAGCAGCCTCTGTTCGCGGATATCATTTACTTCATAGGTGGCATGGAAACGATCGGAAGTAGAAATGGAAATGCGCTTTCTCCGAACAGAGTGCGCCTTTACTTTACTTTCGATGACATTTCCCCTTTGGGGGAGATGCAAAACCTCAGTACAAAATCATGTTCAGAGCCAACAACACCTAAATTTTTAAGGCTAGTGTAATTTTTATTTGGTTTTAATGTTCTAGTTCATAAATTTATTAAAAAACGTTTGTTTATTTGGACCCGAATCGGTTTTAAGAAGGATATTCCACACTAAGGAAAAATGTCAAAGGATAAGAACGGCCCAAAGTCGGCGGGGCAGCCACCGTTGTATGCCGGATGCCAGCGCCTGGAGGATGTCACAATCTACGACTGGATGCGAAACAAAAACTGCAAGACCACAAACTACCAGCCCGCGGAGACATATCCCAACATCCGTCCACCTATTTCGAGGTGCACCCAGCAGAAAACCCTGGAGTGGATGTCGGACAGCATGGAGGCCGCTGGTTGTGGGCCGCTCATCGACACGGAGAGGGACGATGTGTTGGAAGCTTGGACACGCAGTCCCAACAAGGAAAGCCTCGGCTGGTACGGCATCGGCGCTGAAATGCGGCATCCCGAGGCGCTGCTCTTCAACCAGGCCCTGACCAAGAGCCTTCTGGCTGCCAGCGGCGTGAAACCAAAGCCCCCGATGCCACAGCCCGCGCCCGAAAAGAAACCGATGGAGCCGCCGAGTGGCTCCTATGTGCTGAATCGAGAGTGCCTCCGCTCGCATCTGGAGAGGATGCCCACCGTCAGGCGGAAGCTGTCGCCCAGTTACGCCTTCACATGGCTGCATTGTCCGCCCCGGGATCCCCAGAGCCCGCCTTTCGAAGACGAACGCGGGCCCCCGATTCCCTTGTCCAGCGCCTTGGGGATGAAGCGGACCCCGAAGAAGCAGAAGCACCGCCTGCGTCATCGGGTGTGTCATTTATCCTGCGATCGGCCGCAGAACAAGTGCACGGACTACGAGTGGAAGAAGTACAAGGAGGACCCACGCGCGATCGACGAGGCCTTCAAGCGGGAGCAAGAGGCGGCGCAGCCATCGGTCGAGGAGGAGCCCAAGGACTACGACGAGCTGTACGGGCGGTTGCTCTGCTGCTTTGAGCAGAATCCCGAGCAGAACGAGATGTGCCAAGGGTTCGAGAAGTGCTGCAAGGCTCCGGGTGATCCCCCGACCCAAGGATGCGGCGAAATGGTGCCCGACGGAGCCGACGGCGGAGCCGGGGGTAAGTCTGATGGAGATGGCCGAGGCGGTAAAAGTGGCGATGGCAAGGATGGCAAAGGCAAGGATGGCGATGGCAAGGATGGTGATGGCAAGGATGGTGATGGTTATGGAGATGGACATGGAGATGGAGAGGGTGGCGAAAGGAAGAGCAGACGAGGGGATGGGAAGAGGGGAGGTCGAGGCGACGGAAAGTACGGTGACGGGAAGGGTGGAGACGGAGATGGAAAAGGTGGCGGGGACGGTGACGGAGGAAAGGGCGGCCCAGGCGGAAAAGGTGGCCCAGGTGGAAAAGACGGTCCGGGCGGAAAAGGCGGCCTAGGTGGAAAAGACGGTCCAGACGGAAAAGGCGGCCAAGGTGGAAAAGACGGTCCAGGCGGAAAAGGCGGCCCAGGTGGAAAAGACGGTCCAGGCGGAGACGGCGGCCCAGGCGGAAAAGGCGGAAAGGGGGGCAAGGATGGAGATGGAAAAGACGGCGATGGCAAAGGTGGAAAGGGAGGTGACGGCAAGGACGGAAAGGGCAAGGGAGACAAAGACTCTGATCGGAAAGGCCATGACGGGAAGGACAAGGACCATGACAAGGACAAGGGAACGGGACACGGTTTGAAGGGCGACCTCAGTGATGGCAAGCTGAAAGATGGCCATGGCACCGGCCACAAGTACAAAACAAGTGAATTTAGTGACAGCGACGACGAAGCCGAGAGACTGAGAAAAGGCCGCCGTACCCCGGGGATGCGATCGACGACCGGCTCACGCAGAGACCTTCACGGCGATGGAACGGACGGAGGTGGCCATGTCGGTGATGGAACGGATGGCAAAGACGGCCGCGGTCATGGGGATGGCACTGGTGATGGGACTGGCGATGGAACCGATGGCAAGGATAAGAATAAGGGCGATGGCAAGGGCAAGGGCAAAGGCAAGAAAGACAAGGCAAGGATAGGCGATGGCGATGGCAAGGACGGCAACAAGGACTGCCCCTGCGAGCTGTGCAACTACTGCCAAAAGGAGGAGGACACCCCCCTCATCCGCGAGATGCGAATTCGCGAGAAGAAGCGCCAGCAGTGGGAATACCTCCAGCAGATGCGCCACCGCCAGTATCTCGAGTGCCGCGATGCCGAGTACCGTGCCCCGCAGCACAAGTGCGACCCGATTGTCTGCTGCGATCGCTTCTGCCGCAACCCCAATCTGCAGGACCACATGTCTACGATCGATGCCCTGCAACAGCTGCAGAAGCAGCTTCTGCGGTGCAATCGCCGGAATCGCGGGTCATCTTCGCGAATCTACAAGTCTCTGGAGAAGCTGAAGACGAAACTGTGCACCGCCTTTGAGATGCCACAGAGATGTTAAGAAAAGGATCTATTCCCCGAGACCTCTCTGTATATCCCCCAAGATCTGTGTGCGTTCGAGCCATTCTGGGGACCCCTGTCTGTTTCAATATCTGTATAAGCTGGATATGGAGGTAGGAGATCTGTATAAGCCCGTATGCAATATGTTCCTATTCTGCAATGGACCGCAAAGGACAAGGCAGATATCAATGGATTGTATCATTTTATACTCTTCTTCCTTCTTCCATTCTTGTAATCATCCAGCCATCTGTTTATTTGTAACAACCATGGAATATCCATAAAGATGAGATCTTTTTAACTTTTCTTCTGGTTTCTGTGAATAAGTTCTATGCTGGTTCTCCTCTTTCATGGCCCTCTGGGGACACCACCACCACCGTGACTACCTTTCCTTTCATTTCCACTGTTCCACTGCAAGTTGAAGTACCAGTCCGTTTCTCTCTCAATAATTATTCACTTCTCTAGTGCTTCCGAAAGCGCTTTCCAATCCCATTTCCATTTCCCTCAATCATTTTTGCCACACTGGGCGAAGGAAGCGCTTTTTAATAAACCTCATATTCCATTTCGATTCACTGGACTTTTACATTTTTAATTAATGCACATTTGCACTCATCCTCTCTCTCTCTCTCTCTTGTTTTCCCCTTTATATTCTGGGGCACTCTTTCGGAGCCCTTCGTGGATGCAACACTCATTTTTATTGCAACTTTTTCGAGTTAATCACATATTTGCGTCCACTGGTGTCTGTGTTTTTTTAAGCGTTTGTGCCAGTCTGTGTGCTCGTGTGTGTGCGCTTTGGGCGTGGCCAACGCCCACGCGTGGCACGCTCTTCTGTGCATTTAATTAATGCAACAATCTCTCTCCCTGCCGCTTCCTTTGGGTGTTTTCTCCTCCGTTTGCTCGAAGCAAACACAAACACGAAAAACAAAACTCATTTGACTGTGGCCTTGGTTCTGGTCTGTCGCTTACTACAACCATAGCCACAACGCCACAACGCCAGAACGCCACAAACTGCAAACTATTATCAGGGGCAGTGGGCGTGGCCCTAGGCTCGGGGATTGTGCGACAGCCATGATTTATACACAGCGGACAATGCGCGCGCGGCGGCATGCCTCACCTTCTCCAAGAAGGAAGCAGTCAAGGAAATGAAAGTAAAGGAAAGCCAGGTGCCTCAAGGATTTACCCCGCCCATCAGCGAACGAATAATTGCCCCACATTTATGGAAAACCTAATTCAATAATGGAATTGCGACCTTAGACACGATTTCCAATGACTTTTTTCTGGTCCAAGGAGCATCTGCTCCACCTTCTCCTTCTGCTTACATAAAGCGCTTTTCCCACACACCCACCCACACACACATACAGGGAAATCCAATGGAAATGGAAGCATGTTGCCTTGTCATTGCCATGATAAATGTATTGGTTACACACACACACACACACACACACGGAGAGGGAGAGCAGAGAAAAAGAAAATTGTGTAAAACGGAAAAAATCGTGCGGAGCAAAAAAAGAAAGGTGGGAGACGGGGAAAAACTCTGTGGGAAACTGGGACTACGGAAAAACTGTTGCAGCAGCACACACAGGACCCAGGACCCAGGACACAGCACACGGGACACACACATCCGTGCTCCGGCTGAAGGAAATGGAAATCCCGATTCCAAGGAAACGCACGTGACATGGCTGCGCAAAAACTAAGCAAAAGATTCAGCAACTGGAGCAGGATTACCTGCACTATAACCGCCTCCCCTCCTCCCTTCCTACCTCTGCGTCTGCGTCTGCATCTTGGGGATTGGCTCTAAGGAAATCTGTTCGCCTTTCACCCAGTAATTGGCTTTCAATTGCTGGCCCAGGCATTTTATTAGCTCGTAATCTTCAAAAAATATACGCGCCATCGTCGTCGTCGTCATCGCCATCATCGCCCTCTAAAGCCGCAGAGATTGGGGCATCATGCAGATGCTGCATTTAACGCCAAAGCCATGCCGCCGCCAATCCGCCAACAAAATAATTAATGCTTTAAAAAATTTGTCTATAAACAAGCAAAGACATTACCCGAAGAATATACAAAGACTTAACGAGGGAATGCCAGATTCAGAGGCGAAGACGAAGGTTGTATGCTCTTTAAACGATTATTCACTGAATTTTTATGGCCATTTATGGCCTAAAATTAGTTTTGCGGACTAATTTTAAATGCTAGAAATTTATGTCTGAAAATCGGGATAGAATTAAGATTTAGAGAACTTTTAAAATTCCCCTTTTAAAAAAGTTACTATAAAGCAGAGTCACTCTCTCCCAGTGTGGCTTAGCAGTGACATTTTTTAAATGTTTTCCTAGAGATACAGAAAGGTAGTAGCAGGTATTTTGATGTCGAGACACGTGTGCTTCTATATGGCTAGGACTCCAACGCTAATTTGCATTTAATTAAAATCCCTCCAAAAGATGTGAAAATTTAGTTAATTTAATTAATTATGTGCTATTAACGGAGCCTGCATATATGTAGATACATTTTGGTCCTCACCTGATACAGATAATAAAACAGAATACAAGTCTTGAGCCCCACAATCAGAAAAGAAAACATTCCTTAAATTTCCGTCCAAGAAATTACATTTTTCTTTTAAAATCCCTTCAAAGTACATCTATTTACGCTTTAATTCTGCGAAATGGGGTACGAACTCTTCAGTTTTTGTTGTATGTAAGAATTTTCGGACTTAAATATTTGTAAATCATACGAAAATATCTGTAAAGTAGTGAAATATTTTCGTTTGACAATAGAGAGAGAATTTATAAAATGCAGAAAATATTCGCAGGACCATGAGAGCCAGAATTGAGTGCTTGAAATCCACATTCAAGAAGGTAAAGAAAAGTGATTTCATGTGGTGTTTCACTGTCCATGAAGCTCACAGGAGAAGGCAACTATTTTAAGGGCTGGAATTTGTGCGCTTGAAAATAGAGAGAATTTCTAAAATTCAGGAATAAACTTCGGGGAGCTAAAAGCGAGTGCTCGTGTGGTGTGGGTGTCCTTCTGGGTAGCCTCTGATATGGCTGGTGCTGGTGCTGGTGCTGGCATTGAATATACGATTAGATGTATCCATCAGAGGGCATGTGGCATGTCCCTGGAGAGACCTCATCATGTTCTACCTCCTGCGTGTAGGAGTGCGAGAGTATGTTCACGGACTCGACATAGTCGATTACCCATCTCTACACATCATGAAAAAGTTATAACATCCTTCGCCATCGCAACAGGGCATACAATGTACACACACTCCTCCCTCCATCACGCCCTCCAGCTCCTTCTCCTGCTGATGTTCCCTCCTCGTTCTATTGTGCGTGTGAAAACCAGACAAATATATTTCTTTATTCTCTACCCCTCCCAACAGAGTGCTGCTGCTGTGCCTGAAGGAACGAAGAAAGGAAGGAAGGAAGTCCCCCAGCAAAGGCGCTCTCTCTCTCTCTCTCTCTGTTTAGCATCTCATCGCGTATACGCACCTTTGGCTTCTTGGCATACTGTCCCGTGCGCACATCCCGAATGGTGGCTATATCCAGGATGTCCAGCTCGTTGTTCTGGTCCACCCAATAGAGGAAGAAGCCCTTGGCGTCGACGCGCATCGTCACCGGTAGGCCAGTGCCCGAGTCCTAGGAGAAATGAGGAAGAGGAAATCCAAAAAGATTATTGATTGCAGATGTGCAGATAATTGAAAAAACTCGAAAGATACAAATATCATCCCCCGATTCCGATTCGGGTCCAAAATAAAGATACAAACAAACGCACACGCATGAGTTTCCAATCCATGGGGTTCATTGAACTGCCAGGCAACCCCACAGCCTGGCTAATGAATTTATTCTGGCCAATTTCTCATCCGAATAGCCCGCAAATCGGCCGGACAGTCCCGTCCCCAAGTGCAACAGCATCGCATCGCATCCCATCCCATCGTCTATCGTCTGTCATCTGTTATTTCTGCTTATTATTTAAGTCAAATTAAATGGGCCTCCGCCATGGGGCGGCCATAAATATTTAAGCATTCATTCATTCATAAAAACCAAAGAAAAAGAACGCGAATGAGAAAATTCTGGCCCCCTGCCCCCGAGCTCCCTGGTGGCAATGCCAAACAGATGTGCCCCAAACAGCATCCCACCCATGGAATATCTCGAGCCAAAAGTGAAATATTTTACTCGTATTTTTTAAATATTCTTGCAAATAAGCAAAGGCCCAATCTGCGAGGCACGAAATATGTCTTTTTCGCTTGTTCGGATACTCTACAAAAAAGGGTATAGCGCTTTTTGCTTAGATGTTTCTAGAGCGGAAAAGTTTCTTTATAGATAGATCTATCCTTGAGGTTTGGATGACGCGGAGGAGTCAGAAAGTGAACTAAAAGTGCGACAAGTGACCAGGTAGCGAAGAGAATAAGAGTGTAAGTTCTTCCCAGTTGCTATTTTCTTTGTTGAATGCTGTTTATGGGTCGTAACATTAAGATATCTGTCTCGTAGATCGGTGTTTCAACCATAGGATATATTTGTTACCAAATAAACGATCGATCTTTAAGTGTTCCTTGGCATTCCCACCCCGAATCCATCCTTTGTTTCCCTAACTGCTCTGTACTTTCTATTTTCTTGGAAGCGACTGAAACAACGCGCTAAATGGTGCGGCTCTTTAATGAATGTTTATCCAGACAGTGAGTGGCGGGGGCAAGACACTCACTCAGACATAAGAAGTCAGATAGAATAACCTGCAACAAAAGCGCGACGGATGAAAGGATGGATGGATGTCTGTGCAACAAAGTGGGAAAGTGGGCAAGGGCCAAAAGTGTGGCCTGGTCACGCAAGTACAGAGCGGCGCAGAGCTAGGACAGGGCCAACAATGTATCTCTCGGAGGAGTAGCCGCCTTGTGGCATGCCTTGACCTCACCTCCCCAAGGATGGGCCGCCATTAAGATTAGGGGGGACGCTTCGGTTAATATGGCCAAAAATTGATGAGCAAATGAAAATACTTGTAACGAGAACTCTCGTATTTAATTCGCAGAGTTCATTATCCCTTTTCCCTGTGGCGGGGATTGTGTGTTGGGGTTTAATGAACTCTCTCCCACTCCCGCTAGGTGCCAGAGTGGAAAACACTTTCCCGCTCTATGGAATAATTGAAACTGAAAACATTCACTCGGATTCAATGGCCCAAGGAAAAGAGAGACGTGAGAGTGGGAGTGGGAGAGAGGCAGGGATTTTCAATTAGTCGCATATTTTCTGGGGATTTTCGTGGAGCAAGAAAGGGTTCGGGGTCCATCTCCAGCGCTAATTGGAATCCCCATTTGAGTTTTGTCCTGCATTCTGTTTTTCCGTTTTCCGTTTTCCGCTTTCCCGTTCTCCGTTCTCCTTTTCCTGTTTGTCTAATTACGGGAAAACTAATTGAGTTTCGGCTGCTCGCAGCGGAAAAGCTCTGGCCAGGGGGGGGTGGAAAACTTTTGTTAATTCGATTTCAATATGCAAAATTCTGTGGAAATTCAATAAATGCTGTGCGAAAGTAGAACCCTGTAACTGACGACTGCCACTTGCCACTTGACACGATTTTCAAATACTAAAAGCGAAGTCTTTGAGTGTATCCTCCGAGTGTATCTGTGTATCTGTTGGGTGTGCGCGTTTAGGATAAAAGCGATTGCATGCATAATTCAATTGGTGTAACAGTTGGATGTCACTCCCTGCCGCAGGCACAGACCGAAGAGCGCCGAGCGAAAGGAAAAGGCAAGGCAGCTGTGCCACAGACACAGATACAGATACAGATATATCTACGGATATGTGAAGCCACATCTGCTTGTGACGATTGTCACACGCCATTCCACATTCTATTGTCAATCATGCTTAGGGATTGACGACACTCGTGAAAGGGATGGAAGTCTGTGCGGCAGTCCCGCTCCTTGCTGCGGATGTGGATGTGCCCCAAGTCCTAAGTGTGAGAGCTGTATGCAAATGTTGAAACTATCAAAATGCGGGGTCTAAGCAGCTGCTTGGCTGTGCAAACTACATGCAAATTATATCATAAAATATGTATCCCATCAGCACCGGCTCTGCACCTGAGCGAAAGTTTTGCCCAACTTTTGGCTCCTGTTGTAGTTTCAGCAGAGATGCCTCCCCAGCAGCAGCAGCAGCAGCAGCAGCAGAGTGGGGTTTGGACGTGGGAGACCCGTCATTTGAAGGCAGCCACTCGTCAAAGTCTGTCGCTCTGTTGGGGGCCGCCTCAGAGCTCAGAAATTAAGGAAGATTGATGCGCCGAGTGAGCACCAGCTGGATACCCCTAGCCTTATCCTTCGTGTGTCTTTCGCTGCTTTCTCGTGTATCTATTGCTGCTCTCTTGGCCTTGATTAGCAGGTGTTTGCAGTATCTATACACCGATCGTGGATCGTTGATCGTGGATCGCTGATCGGTGATCACGCTGCGATCGGTTATCGTAAATATTTGCTAGATTTCGGACAATCAATACGCCACTTATCGGGCAATAAAAATACAGTATTCGTTCCCTGATTAGATACGGGTATGCCTACAGCATTTACTCGCTTTAATGCACTACAAGAGTGGCGATGTGATGATTACGCAAAAAGATCTATTCGAAGGGCCCCCTTCAGTTGAGCTGATAATAGGCGGCTATGGTGCCATAGATCCATCCCACGTACGACGGCACGGAGGTGTACACCGTCGGGCGGTTGGCATAGCCGCAGGGCATGTAGCTCCAGGAGCCGAGGGCCACCAGTTCCGCGGGTCCATCGATGGGCCAGTACACCAGGGGAGTGCCTCCATCCCCGTAGCAGGTCTTGACGGTGGAGCACACCTGTTTATCCGTCAGAGGGGCATCCGACGGGAGCAGCACCTCGCACTCGGAGTTCTCCAGGAGAGGGGCAAAGGCGTACTGAAGCTGTTTGGAGAACTCATCGCCCTCCACGTCCGTGAGTCCCCATCCGTAGGCGGTGACCAGTTTTCCGGAGTAGTCCTCATCGACATCCGGCAGGGCGATCTGCTGGACGCGGGCGGTGTACACAAACGGCTCCGAGACGTGGAGCAGGGCAATGTTGTCGCTGCCGGCATTGCCATTGAACGAACGGTGAACGGAGGCAAAGTCCACGTAGCGCACCTGAGCGGCGGTCACATTGGAGCGGTTGCTCACGCCCGCATAGATGGGCGTGCCGAGGACATCCCCGTTGAAGGCCCGCACTCCCTCCACGCAGTGTCCGGCCGTCACGATCCAGGTCTTGGCGATGATCACTCCTCCGCACTGATGCGCGTAGGTGGCCTTCGTGAGGCTCAGGGACACCAAATAGGGCACATTGTCCACTCCCTGGACGTCGTAGCCATCGAGGATCAGTGGCGAGATCTCCACTGGGGACTCTTCCACGGTTTCCCTTGGTATCAGGTGATGGATGTGCGGCAGGGAGGCGGCGCCGGCGAGCGCCACCAGCGGCAGTATAACGAACAGCGATAGCATTCCACGGAAGCGAAGTATATTTTGGGTACGAGAGTACTGATAGGTAGGGCCACGATGGGAACCTCGATAGGTCTAAACGGTTTGCGGTCGTCTGACGAGGGTTTTATACTGCGCGGGTTCGGAGCTTTGGGAGAGAGAGCAGTTCCCATATGAATTGGAGGTATTCTGGGGAAATAGTTCTGGAAATGGATTGGGTCTTTGGGGGAAGGTCTTCTCTCTTTCATATACAATCGGTGTGTATGGTTTCAATTTCGTTTCTGATTCGATATTTTTAAATAAATTGTATAAGGAGAGAAGTATCTCCGCATGAAGCCCTAGTACCAAAAGGAATGGGTTCTATTAGACAGTTTATGATATCCCATCGGCCAATCTATTATATTTGCATAAGCTATCTTTTTAGCTTTCTAGAATTCATTCTAAGAACAGTTTAAAATATTATGAAATACCTAGTAATATCCTATACCCATTCCTATATTCCTAAGAAGAGTTCCAAGAGCCCTGGGACTTTTACAGTCGCTTTACCAATAGCTGATTGCAGAGTGGGAGAGAAATTCCCTGAAGCGGAACAAATTCCCCAATGAGTGAAATTACCCAAAAATACTGCCTGTTTTACTCTTCCTATTGGGAGTATTTCCCTTCTGTCTCTAATAGAATTTTGTTGGGTTTTGATTGGGAATACGATTCTCTTAAAGTTGAGGATGTATCGATAGCTAAGACTTTTTTAGAAAAGAGAGAGAAGATCGACGACATTTCACCATGACTATGCTCAAATACCGCCTCTAAGTGGTTCATTCTAGAAGATTTACTAGCTGTGTATGTATATTTTCCTCCCCTAAATGGTGCGATCATTGGATGTCCAAGACCTAACAGAGGTAGCACTTGGATTTAATAGCAGTAGAATATGTTACCCAATCTTTCTCCGCCAAAAATCTAACTTTTGTACCTATGGTAAACGACTACTTTGATTGGGTTTCTTCCTTACCGAGAGAAAATAGATGATTTTTGGGATGTACCCATTCCGATTTTGAAGTACAGGTTTAATATTACACCGATAGACACTAAATTTAGCATAAAACTTGTTTTTCCAACACTTTTAGTTCAAATTGAAACGCATCGGATATTGTTCTTAATGCCGCCGCAAATGCTCTTAAATGGAAGATGGCTTTTCCGGGGAGTTTTGTCCATGCAATTACCTTTTTGCCTTGGATGTGTATCCCCCACGTGCAGCCACGGCCAGTACCGGCCAGTCCGTGCAGCATCTCCAATGTGGCGATGCATCCATAATTGCCGGCTGCCAACTGGCCCTCAAAGTGCCATTAAGGCCACATGGCCATGGCCCGCCCCTCCCTGGCGCGTTTTCCTGTTTCTCTTTCCCTCTCTGCTTTTCTTGTTGTTGTTTAAAAATGTTTTTACGCAAAGCTGCGGTTGGATGTCCGGTTGAGGGGGGAGGGCGGAGGAACGGAGGGACGGAGGGAGCGACGGGCGAGGGAGAACTTTGTATGCCGTGAAATTTGCTTTTAATTGGCTTAGTCCTCCGCCATTCAGGACCGGACTCTGACCAGTGGTCCATGCGGCAGGGGCCAGTGTTCCGGCGTATTTTTAGCATCCTTTCATGCCAGAGAGCCAGGGCCAGACCCCTGGCGACCTTGTCCGGCTGTCAACACCCCAGTACCCACATTACGCACCTCCAAAGGGGACTCCAACACAGGAAGCCTTTCACCTCTGAAGGGGACTCCAACGCGGGAAGCCTTTCACCCCTAAAGGGGGCTCCAACGCGCGTTGCCTTTCACCTCCACAGGTGCTCTAATGAAGCCTTGCTCCACGTGTGTCCCAGCCGAAGCCTTCCTGCAGCAGAAAGTCGAGGGGGAGAAGCCCTTCCCTCTCTGGCCCTGGCTTTGGGTTTACGCACAGCTTTCAAGGGCAAAATCTACAGCGTAACCTTATCGGAGCGTAGATCCCAATCGATTCGTAAGAATAGCCTCGTGTAATCGGAGTCTAATCGAAGTCTATTCCAGATACCATTCATAAATCTATTCGCTAATCTCGCCGCGCCTTCCGACTATAAAAGAGGCAGCGCCAGCACTGGCAGACATTATTCCCGCTCTTCAGAATCGAACAGAATGAAGGTGATTGCTCTGACGCTTCTCGTGGCCTTGGTGGCCACCGCCCAGGCCGGCAAACTGACCGACAAGTTCGCCCATCTGATCCCCAGCTTCGCCACTGGCTTCGTGATCAACGGCACCGAGGCTGACCCGCACTCTGCCCCGTACATCGTGTCGCTGGCAACCAAAGTCGAGAAGCACTCGCACATCTGTGGCGGCACCATCATCAACAAGGAATGGATCCTCACTGCCGCCCACTGCATCTCCAATCCCGAGGGCATGAGCGCCATCGCCGGTCTGCACACCCGCGCCGAGGTCGATGAGCTCACTCAGCAGCGCCAGATCGACTTCGGCCGCGTCCACGAGTCCTACACCGGCGGCGTGGGTCCCTTCGACATTGCCATCCTGCACGTGAGCGAGCCCTTTGAGTTCAACGAGTGGGTGCAGCCCGCCCTTCTGCCCATCCGCGAGGAGGTCCACGCCGGAGAGTCGCACCTGTACGGCTGGGGACAGCCCAAGTCCTACGTCCTGACCGCCGCCAAGAGCCTGCAGACCGTCACCACCGAGCTCGTCAACTACCCCGACTGCGTCGAGGCCCTGCCCGAGAACGCTCCTCTGGAGCCCTCGAACATCTGCTCCTCTTCGCTGCAGCAGAGCGTGTCCGCCTGCAACGGCGACTCCGGCGGCCCCCTGGTCGTTGAGCACGAGAACGCCCCCTCCGAGCTGGTCGGCATCGTCTCCTGGGGCTACATTCCCTGCGGACTGGCCCAGCTGCCGTCGGTCTACACCCGCGTCTCCGCCTACATCGACTGGATCCAGGCCAAGCAGACCGCCTACTACGCTCTGTTCTAAGGGATAGCCCACTCTTGCAGATCATCTTCCAATGGATTCGTTTCCAGGAATCTCTTGACAAGATGATTAAAGATCCATGGATGAATTGTGAAATATATGCATTCGTCTAAAGTCTACGCTTTGTCATGGGTTCTCGCAATTTATGGCTATGATTGGGCATTCCACGGTCTACAGCTAATCCGCGGATCTAGAGTCCGCAGATTGTCTTTGGATTTATGGCACTACTATAATAAGCAATCTATAAGTCTGAAAAGGCCTCTGCTTTTCTGGGAGGCGTGTGCCATTGATAGTCTCGGGGTTCTCGATTGCCGAGCCAATCAGAGTCATAGTTCCAATTCCAGTTTATTCCTTATCGAAGCGATAATAGAGGAAATGCTGAATGGGAAAGCTCTCGCCGAAAAGCTCTGCCCTTAAAATGTACCTATTTTATGGGAAAGTTCATATTAGGTTCCCAGTAATCATAGGGTACAGGTGTACTCCAGATAGGGGATCATAAAGGGCGATTACCTGGGTATCTTGCTGTCGAGGCACCCTAAATTTAGTCTATAAACATTAACCGATTTGTAGATTGTAGATTTGTTCGATATGTAGATTGATGCCTTATATGTGTTCATATGAAATAGGAGCTCGTTATATTGCAGATTATTCATGCCATAAAGATTCAAATGATTGGGATAGATGGAAAGTAATATTCCAAATATGAAAAGAGGTATTTTGCATGGATTTATGAGAATTATCATCTGTATTATCTTTCTCTGGATAGTCTTTGGGATCCATGAATACCTGCAGATGTACAAATGCATTGATTATCATTATGGTGTGCAGATTCTTGACTTGTACTCTTTAGAACTCGTTGCGAAGGTCTTCCCCATTTACGGATGGTGCAGAAATCTACTCTTCGTTTCGCCGATGAAATCATAAGTTCATTAGCGCCAAAACGTATCTTATCTCTGTTTGAAGAGATTCCTAATGAAACAATCTAGAGAATATAACTCTTTGATTTATTAAGCCAAGGGCTATAGATAATTGCTTCAATCTTAAGTGTGAACATTCGACACTCAAATTATATGAAATTCGACACTCCAAAGTGGAGCATACACTCGAGATCCGGAGATGTGGATAGTGGGATAGAGCCACAATCTGTGAAGCCCCCCACCTGAGAGAGATATGTCAGGCCACAGGATAACGCGGTGGTCTATCAGTGCCCCAAAGGATCGTAAATCTACGTGTGCTCGTGTCTGCAGCCAACGATAAGGGAAAATAGATTAGATCCCCCTATACAAATCAGTGCCGGACCCACTGGTGGAACAAACCCAAGCCAGCAGCCGAGACATGAGACAATTTGTGGTGTTCCTCGCCCTCGCAGTGGCCGTCGTTTCGGGCCACACGATCGCCCAGCCAGGATTCCCCGAGGGTCGCATCATCAACGGCCATGAGGCGGAGCGTGGGGAGGCTCCCTACATCGTCTCCCTGCAGAGCACAGCCGGGACCTCGTTCTGCGCTGCTTCGATCATCCGTCCGGACGTCCTGCTGACCGCCGCCCACTGCCTCACGAAGGACACGTACCTGGCGGTGGCCGCCGGCCACAGCCGCAGCAACCCCGAGGACACCCAAGTGCGAGAGGTCACCAGCAGCCGCCAGCTAATCCACGAGAGCTACCCGGGCCAGGCGGGACCTTTCGACATCGCCCTGATCTTCCTAGAGACGCCCTTCGACCTGAATGCCGTCTCCCGCGACGGCAGCTCCCCCGTGGCGAGTATCGCCATGCCCCCCAAGAAGCTCGAGGGCTCCAACCGCGGCACCCTCTACGGCTGGGGCAAGGACGGATCCATGGGCCTTCCGGACATCCTCCAGAAGCTCGATGTGGACATCCTGGACTACGAAACCTGCATCGCTGCCATGCCCGAGAACCACAAAGTGGTGGACACCAATGTCTGCACCTACAACGCCGGCACCACCGACGGCGCCTGCAACGGCGACAGCGGCGGCCCTCTGATCAGCCGCTCTACCGATGGCTCTGTCTACCAGGTCGGCGTGGTCTCCTGGGGCTATGTTCCCTGCTCGCTCACAAGGTATCCCTCGGTTTACACTTCG